GGGGAGGCTTGAAGGTCTCCAGCCGACCTCCCTTCGGATGCTGACGGACTCTCCAGTTGGGTTCAATGAACGCAAGGGCCGTCGCTGGAGGTGATTTCATGGTTTTGTGCTTGATTTGTGGACTCAAGACTCCTATCCAAACAGATATCCTGAATTAGCCTGGTTGCCTCTTCAAAAGCCTTGGGCTTTTCTGCTCTTGGGTGGCAAAGTCCCCTCTGCTCTTCATGGGGAGCACAGAGCCGTAAACGTTGGGGACGAGGGGTTGGGCTGATGGCGTGCTCGTCTCCTGGTGGAAGTGGTGTGAGGAGGCCTCGTACGTGGTGGTCACTGGTGGTCATCAGCCCAAAGACCAAACCATGCCCAGCAGCGAACTGGGGCTTGTGATTTTGTCGTGCTTCACACTGAACACACAGGAGATTAAACAGTTCGATGTGGGTTTTGAAGGAAACCCCCTCACTCCAAAGGGTTGGCTCAAGACCCGGGTTTTTCTTCACCTTCTTCCAGAGCAAAACTGGAGATGAGACCTCAAGTTATCTCCTTTCAGCTGGTGCCTGGGAGCGAGAGAACTGATTTCCCTTGGTCCCCGACTTCCCAGAGAACATGGAAGGAGCTAAAATCCATCTACATTGCCTGCGTGGTCTCATCTCCAGGGCTTGAAAGCAGATTGGTGTGTGTTGTGGTGCTGACATGAGGTGAGGTTTGTGGATGCCCACTGCTCCTGGCTCACACGTCTCTGAGCAGACGTTCGGGAGGATCTCTGGGAAGCTGGTGGCCCTGGCCAGCTTGCAGCCCACCGGTGCTGATGTGTTTGGTTCCCCAACGGCTATTTTGGGAATGCAGTGTCTACTTTCATAATTTCTTGGCAATTAAGACAGACGAAGCAACCAGCTTCCAAACACTCTCGCTCCATTTCCACTCGGTCCCTCCCAAACCTGCCTCCTGTGCCGAGTAGGTTTTTTTGGGACTAAGGTATGTGTGAGCTTTATGTTTTCCTCCTTTTTCTTTCTTTAGGAGGGCTTTTCTCTGCCCTGCCGTACATATTCTTGGCTCTGGCAGACACCCCACCATCCTGCAGCCTGGTGCTGCCCGGGGCATGGCCGGAGGCTCCGTGCTGCTCCACAAGCAGATGAGACGGTCTTTCCAAGCACCCGGGGCGGCAGCTTTTGATAAAACCCTGCTGGCAAGCCCGTCCCTTTCTTTCTCTTCCAACAGTGCCAGTTCCCACATCCTGGGATAACAAGGTGATGTGGCGAAAGGGCAGCTCCTCTGCCAGCTCCAGTCAGCGCGTGGTTTCTCCAGCTCGGATCATTGGCATCCGTAAATACTCCAGCTTTCCTCAGTTTCCCCAGTTTGGCTTAAATTGCAGCTTTCTCTGTGCGAGCCCTGGTGCTGCCGTCCTCCCAGCCCTCCCGCGGTCCCAGTTACACGGTCTGGGACCGAAGCTTCGTTTCCACAGGGCGGCTTCCTGGCATCTCCATCATCATCCCTGTGATGTTGGTGGGGGTTTTTTTTGGCTCACGTAGGGCTTTCTGTCCTCCTGTGCCACGCTGTGCCGTAAAAACACACTTCCCCCGGCTGCCTGCCAAGTTTCCTCTGCTCTTGTCGCTGCTCTCGGCTGCGGGATGCTGGTCTGGGACCGAAGCTTCGTTTCCACAGGGCGGCTTCCTGGCATCTCCATCATCATCCCTGTGATGTTGGTGGGGGTTTTTTTTGGCTCACGTAGGGCTTTCTGTCCTCCTGTGCCACGCTGTGCCGTAAAAACACACTTCCCCCGGCTGCCTGCCAAGTTTCCTCTGCTCTTGTCGCTGCTCTCGGCTGCGGGATGCTGCGGGTTCCCCACGCGCCCTCCGCTTTCCGTCACCCTCCGAGCGTTCGCCCTTCCAAGCTGTCGGGAACATCGTTTTTTCCAGACTGCTCACAAGAGCTTGGGATGACAAAGCCTATTGAAGTCTCATCTTCTGGGGCCTTCCAGCCTCTTGTTTCTCCAAACACTTGATGAAATCCATGAAAAATGGCCTGCGGTGATTTTTTTTTTGTTCTTCTTTTTTTTCTTTTTTTTCCGTGGAAGGCCAAGAAAGAGGCAACCAGATGGGTGTTTGGGTTTGAGGTCTAGAGGGAAAATGCTAGAGCGTTGCGCTTCTGACTCGTGACATTTTTCTTCTTGTTTTGCTCCTCCTTGCTGCACAGCCTGGAAGAAACAAATCTGGCAATACAAGGCCAGGTTGGACGGGGCAACCTGGTCTAGTGAGACCTTCAAGATCACCTCGTTCCACCCGGTCTCTCTTCTTTTTCTTTTCTTTGCAGCTTGACAGGACAGAGACGGCCGTGAACAACCTCAACCCGGCTTTCGCCAAGAAGTTCATCATCGACTACCACTTCGAAGAAGTGCAGAAGCTCAAGTTTGCCCTCTTTGACCAGGACAAGTCGAGCACGCAGCTGTACGAGCATGACTTCCTGGGCGAGTTCTCCTGCACGCTGGGCATGGTGAGTCTCGGAGGTCCCCGCAGCTTGCCTTCCTCCACCAAAGGGACTCCAGGTCACATCAGCTGCAGGGAGATCTTGGCAGGACCTACTGTAAAGTTTGCTGAGTCCTTCCTGTCAAAACTAATTTAATTTGCTTGTTGAGGTTAGACTGTTCCATGGGAGGGCTGTTGGCTACTTGCCCAAGTCTGAGCTAGTCATGATGCGAGCTTCTGGTCATGACTGCTGAGAGATGTCGACCACACACTTTTGGAGGTGCCTGTATCTCCCCATGGGTTGTAGTGTGAGCCCTCATGACCAGCTTGCATTTGGACTTGGGAAACTTCCAGGTGTTTAAAATCAGGATGTGCTGTGGTTTACCTTGATTTTGGAGTTTTTTGGTGTTGTTTTTTTTTTAAAGCTTTATCCATTTGCTGTTGTGTAGCACATAATCTCTCCAACTCAGGCGTGCTGGTGCAGGAATGTGTCTTCTGCTCCTCCTGTGGAAAAGCTTCCAGGACACAGTGCGATTTATAAGCCTTTGGAAGGTCTTAGCGTTCATGAGCCCATACCCTGTGAGAAGTTGGCAGCCACGTTCTCCAAACCTCTTTGTCCTCTTAGCTTGCTCTGACTCAGAGGCAGGGAATGAGGGGGATTTTTTCCATTCTTCTGCAACATCTGATGAGTCGGGGCTGCTGCGGTACCTGACGCAAGCGCCGGGCCTGGGAGGAACCAACTCTGTTGGGCTCAGTGCTGGGAACCAGAAGGAAGGAGACGCTGGGGACAGCCAGCTCGAGGTGCTCAGGGAGGGCCGTGAAGGTGGTCGCTGTGTTCCACAGACCGCAGTAGGCACTGCACGTGGCAAAGAGGGGCGAGTGGCCTCACCACAGCCAGCTCAAGAGCTTGACCTGTTAGAAGAGCACTGACAGAGTGTAAGGCTTTGGGAAGTGCTCTGTGATGACCTAATTCTGCTCCTGCAGGAGCTAAGCAGAGTGATTTAGACCAAATCCATCCAGTGCAGAGCCACAGAGGTGATGAAGGGAGTGGAACATCTCCCTGAGGAGGAAAGGCTGAAGGAGCTGGGACTCTTTAGCTTGGAGGAAGCTGAGGGGTGACCTCATGAATGTTGATAAATATAGAAAGGGTGAGTGTCAGGAGGACAGAGCCAGGCTCTTCTCAGAGACGTCCAATGACAGGACAAGGGGCAATGGGTACAAGCTGGAACGTAGGAGGTTCCACAAAAATATTAGAAAAAACTTTTTCACTCCAAGGGTGCCGGAGCCCTGGCCCAGGCTGCCCAGAGAGGGTGTGGAGTCTCCTGCTCTGGAGACTTTCCAACCCGCCTGGACGCGTTCCTGTGGGGCTGCCCTGGGGGACCCTGCTCTGGCAGGGGGGGGCAATCTTTTGAAGTCCCTTCCAACCCTGAACGTTCTGTGATTCACTGTTGGTCCTCCTGTTGTTGAAGTGTCTGATGTGGGACAGTCCAGCAATGCTCGTTGGGAAAGTCACGGTCTTGATGGTAGCTACAAGCAGAGAATTTGTGGACGTAAGGGTTCGGAGCTGAGCCCTTATGTGGCTGTGCAGAAGTCCAGGGCTCTTGTGCTAGAGAGAAACATTATCCCTGTGTGCTTGGGAGGAAGGTAGAAGAGCCTGACCCATCCCCTCCTGCTTGTTGGGTCTCCTGGGAGAGTCCAGCCCTTTCTGATGCTTTGCAGGGTGATGAGCTCGGGTTATGAGAGCGGACAGACTGTCCTGGGGCTGTGGTAGCGGTGGGGATGGGCACTTGTTGGCAGGTCTCACATCCGAGGTGCTCGTTCAGAAGAGATGATGGTTTAGCCGTGGTGGCTGACGGGCACGGCATAACGGTCAGGTTCAGCCACCCTGCTGTGGGTTTTCCGATGGCTGGATTTTTTTTGCCTGGTGAGATGTTTTCAACAGCCTGCCCGGTTTTGAGGTACGAGCAGCTCTTGGAAGGGAAGGAGAGCAGCCGTGGGCAGCAGCAACCGCACAGCGAGCATCTGACTTCTCGGTTTTGAGCTTGCGTCGGAGCCGTCTGTCAGATTAGCCAGATTGTTTTATTGCAGCTAAGGAGGCCTGTGGTAAGATTGAAAAGGACGGCTGGATTGTTCGCTGGACTGCAAGAACTGCTGCGGCCGAGCGGGGTGTTACGGGGATCACGTTGC